TCATGTGTAAAAATGCGTTTCCGTGTTACTTTGAAATCAAACATCTCAGTTCCTTGTAATAGGTTTACCTAGTATTTTAGTGGCGTCTGATAGTTACACTGTCCTGTTTGCAAGCAGATTGTATAAATTCAAAGATGAACGAAGTAAAGCAGCGTGATTATTTTCTCCCATAAGGCGGCAATACATTCGTCTCCACATGGTCAGCGGGCCCTCTCTCCAGGGCGCATTGTCACGATAACTACCGCTGAGCACAAGAACGCTTTAGCCGTCATTTTGCAGGCAGGAAACACTTCTTCCAAAGGCCACTTGACCATGCAGTCTCAAGTAGTGTCCAATCCAACGGAAAGAAAATTTGAAGTGTTAGTAATATGTGACCCAAAGGAAAACAAAGCAGGTAAGAAAATTAGTAGATAGGTTTTTTTAAGTCTTTGAGGTCTTGCAATCAGCGAACGGAATTGTTTGACTCCAGATCGTTTAATAGATAGCCATTCGACGAAGAAGACAGGTTGCGATTGATTAGATGTGCATTTATGTGTGAAATTGAGGGGAAGATTCCTCAGTATTATTGAAAAATTCAACTGGAAGAGTTCATTTGTAATTACAACGTTTTGTCGAAGAATTTGATTGCCAGGTATAATTCCAGGTGAACTTGTCTTTGTGCATTTCGTTACAGAGGACAACGAATTTAATTCAACGAAAGAGAGTAAAGTAGACGCATCAGATATGGACAAGGACGTGCAGCCTTTTATAAAACAAAACTTATTTTTACCCAAGGGACGATGTTCTCACCAAATTTTACAAGTGAATGGAAATGCTATCACTGCTATTTCTGTTCGTCAAATGAAAGTTGATACTGCAAAGATAATAGACGATCATAAAAAGAGAATGCTGCCAAGATTTAGGTGAGTCACAAACGCTCTGATTATATTTTAGTTTTTTTTTAGTGTAGGTTTTCTGTGACTTTTAAGTTGAATTAGAATTAACTTTGACGGTTTCTTTAAAGGAATGACTTACCAGGAAAAACTACTATTAGTGCAGAGCAAGAACTGCTTAGATTATCCGAGGCTAATCCCGAGGGACTGAGCACCATGGATCCTATCAAAGACTTTAACATCCGGGACATTGACATGGTGACGACAATAGCGAGAAAACAAAGTCTTGAAGAACAATTGGCAAACTTCGCATGCTTGAACTGCCCCAAGTTTACAGAGCATGTGAGTTTATTTATTAGAGGATAACGTAAACAAACTATAGGGAAATCCGGTTGTTTTCCAAATTCAATAAAGGACTTGCTTGTTCTCTGTTTTACGAAACGTCTGCGTCTTAATAACTCAGTTTTCGTGGTGTATAGGGCACTAGGAAGTGGGAAGGTGAAAGATAAAGAAGTATTCTGTTTTCCATTCCAGTTTGAAACAGTCGCCAAACAGATGAAATTACGAGAGCACGTGACCTTACTAAGATATTTATTGTCCGACGAGAGTCTCCAACATAGAGAGGAACTTCAGCAAAGAGTAGAGGTAAAACTGCTACTTGACAATCAAATTCGTGTGTCGTCGTGAAAATGCTATTTACCCTCAAAACAAGGTCTAAACTTTTCATACCAGGTAACTAATTACAATCCATTTTCTTAGCGCCGTTGCTTTTTATTCTACAGGTTTTACGTAAATTACGTTACGTGGACGCGAATAACGCTGTGCAGTTGAAGGGAAGAGTGGCGTGCGAAATAAGTAACCATGAACTGATGATCACAGAACTCGTGTTTGAAAATGCTTTCACGAATCTTCATCCCACGGAGATTGTGGCTTTGCTGTCTTGCTTTGTATTCCAGCAGGTAAACGTTGCATTTAGTTTGGGACCCTTTTTCACAGACTATATTTAAACACCTGAGAGCCCGGAAATGACTTTAAGAAGACTTATTAACATTTAATCTTTAACGCGATTTTGGTTTTTCTACCAAAGTAGCACTCTTTCTAATTTTCTCTCTTTTCCAGCGTCGATGCAGCAAGCCAAATTTAACCAAGACGTTAGAAGAGGTAGGGAAATAAAAATACACGTATATCTGTGTAGGATGTGCTGTGTATGAGGTGCTGTGTGGCGTGCAGTCTTATCGTTTACTCTTGAATAGAAATAGACTATGAGCAGTCCCTCTTTTTGGCGAAGTCCGTGGCGCGAGTAGAAAAAAATTCATGTATGCACGCCGCGCGGAACTCTTGGAGTGACAAGCATGAAAATCCTCACTCCCAGACTTAAGCGGTGCGCTCCCATCAAAGTTTTTTTACTCGCGCGAAGTACCTCTCCAAATATTATGGACTGCTCATAGTCTAACATGGAAAGAATTATAAGGAAGAGACAATAACCTCTACTCCTCTGTAACGAGTATATTGCGTCCCTTCTCCATGCACGGTTCGAGGCTGCCTCTAGTACCGTGATATGATGTTTGTTTGCACTCGCTTTGGTAACAAATTGATTTTCTAAAGAGAATACAATTTCTAAGGTTTTTGCGCTTTGTGGAGCCCTGATTGTTTCTAGATAAACAAATCTGGAAAATTCGATGAATCGTTTGTCTCTTCTCATCAGGAATTCGGTTTTCATATTTTCAGGGCAAGCAGTTCATATTACAAATGGCAGAACAAATCGCTGACCTGCAGTCTGAATTCGGTCTGCCTACGTCTGTTGAAGAATTTAAAGAGCAGTACAACTTTGGTCTGGTAGAGGCTGTGTTTGAATGGGCAAGAGGAATGCCTTTCTCTGAAATAACCAACTTGACAGATGTGCAGGAAGGTAGGAGAAACCTGCCAACATAACTCAGGTTACGAAACGGAGGACTAACGATTTTTTTAGCCTCCTGTTACTTAACGCTCTGCGGAATTCTTACACCAACTGATTGTTAGGACTTTTTTCTCTTGACATGCAATTCATACGTTGTGGTTTTCAGTAATTCTTTTTCACGACCAAAAAAAGATATTGCAGGTGAAGTGTCAGAGGGGTTCCTTACTTTGAATTGAGATAGGTTACAGAAAGATGTTGAACACTTGTTACGAGCATTAGAGTAACACGTGAGGATTCGAACTGCAAATCTATCGATTTTTTGGACTGAACTACAGTTCTGAACTGAGTTTCACCAAGCTGAGATACTTCACTTAAACATGGACTTCTTTCTTTTTCTTTATTCAGGGATCATTGTTCGCTGCATTCAGCGATTAGATGAGACGTGTCGTGATGTTAGAAATGCCGCTCGCATCATCGGAGATCCAAAGCTTGGAGAGAAGATGGAGGAAGCGTCCGCTATGATCAAAAGAGATATCGTATTCGCTGCAAGTCTGTACACGCAATGAACTAGTGACCGGAAATGGAAAGCATCAGCATCTTATTATGACTCAGCAGCATCTGAGTCACAATGAGATGTTATCCCGTAAAGATTAAGTTCGATTTTCATCCATTAGCGAAGAACGACCGTTTTCGCGGAACTGTAGGATTGAGGTCACCCATGTTGCTGGTCAACCTGGTTTTGACCTAGAAAATTTCGTGACTTAAAAAGAGCTCATTTAAACCGCCATCAAACGAGTTGTTAAAACTAATCTACTGAAATTCTTTAGGTGCATATTTCGTAAAATTTAAATTAAAAGCTCGAGGCTGAATAGTCCCATCCTGATTCAGGAACTGCTCTTTCAACGTTTTTAGACTTAGCGTAGACTAAACTTACAGGATTTAACTAAGTCAGAGTGCACATCTAAATGCCTTTTTTTATGACTAAACTTGCGTAACTCGTAACTCTTGGTTTAGAACATGATCTTTTAAGTCTTTTTAGACTTTGCTCAAAATAAACATACAAGTGTAAATTAACTTAGAATAAGCTTTATATTTTTCCAAATGTCTTTTTATCACTCAACTCACGCAACTCGAAATGTGGTGAAATTAGGATTCTGGTGGTGTGTTTACTCACTAAGATTTGAATCCAAATCACTCTAAAACCGGTCAAACCGGATGGAACAACTTAACGTTCTCCTCACTGTGGTACGTGATTTATATGGTCTTGAATACCCCAGACAACCCTTCCCCCGAGTTACCCTGGTCGAGCTATCTCTTCATTTATTTCTCTGAAATATTCAACCAATGTCTAAATGAAAATGGTGAACTCGTCTCTGGGGCGAGACAGCTCGGGATGGCGAGTTGTCCCGCCTCGGGTCATCCTTTTCCCATCTAAACACTTCGGCTCGCCTGCCCGAGACGAGGCGGCTCAAATTTTATTTGATATATAACCTGCCCAGCTGTCACCAGAGAGAATAGCGAGGCTACAACTGTTACCACTCACAACTTCCAAATGAACGCTGCTTAAAGTTGTCTTGAAGGGGAGGGTTGTTTTGGGAACCCGAGACCATGTAAATAAAGCTTTGGAGTTAGGAATCAAAAAATGAAATTATGATGAATGAGGTATCCAAATAAAATTGATATAATTCAACGAAAGAAGTATTCTTTTGGATACGCGTGCAGATAATTGCCCGAGATTCTTCTTATAGTAAGTGTTTCATCCACAGTTATCACAAGTTTTGACAATCGACAGCGCGGGCTCACCATAAAATGTAACAAATTAGTGAACGCTTTTTAACCTTTACTCAATGCATTGACAATACTTATTTCAACACAGTTTACATCAAAATGGCGTGAGCGATGACAAAGAATTCGTTCTGAACTGTTGAATCAGATCTTTTCGAAACCTCGTCAACTTCTTTAAATATGCTCGTAATTGTCAGTGGTGGAAAGATAATTAAGAGTTGGATGAAAATCAACGTACCTCAAGTAAGAAACTCGGTCTCAATTATTCAAGAGAAGAGTTCGGAAGAGGCTACAAACTGTCACCATACTTCAGAAGTAGTTTACCAGTAAGGATAACGAACGATTCTTAACTCGATCTTGTTTCAATTAACCTTCTCTTTCCTTGAGGACCCTGATAAACACCGTATTACAGATGTAAACATGATAATGATGACCAATAAAACAACAACTGAAACTAAGAGCACGACGGACCAAACATCAAGAAGGAAGAGCTTATAAAGCGGCAGATCCAGGCCACGTGGTCTTAGGTACTGTAAACCACCTTGAGCCTGTGTATATTCCACCCAATCAGCGGCTTCCTTGACGGGTGAACGTGGCAACAGCTGAACAGATTTTGATATTCGCTTTGCTTTCTCTCGGTAGCTAAAGGAATAAGATTGCCACTGTCACTATCGGTAAAAGTTTGAAGGAATGTTTCCAAGAACTGATGAAAAAGTATTTGAGTTCTGTGATACTAACCTTGGATCTGTTAAAACCTTCTGTATCAAATTAACAAACTCCTCTGTTGATGTGGCTTCAAGGTCCACCACCTCAGCAAACCCGGCCCGCTTTGCAGCCTGGGCGTTGTGTGGTTGATCTCCGAAGAAAGGTGAACATATCATAGGAACACCATGGTAGGTTGATTCTAGCATTCCATTGATTCCTGCGTGTGCGATAAATAGCCGTGTCTTAGGGTGGCCAAGAATGTCATTCTGGGGTAGCCATGGCAACAGTTTGATGTTGTCGCTGACGGTGATTTTTGAAATGTCTGCAAATTTGAGAGAGAAGATCATGACTTGC